GAGTGTGAAATTTTACCGGCGTATTTTCCCTTGTAGCACGACATTGTTATTGCTTTGGACGATGAAGAAGAGTGTAGAAGAGAAGTTTTGCAGAGAGAGATAGATCAAAGACAAATGGATGTGTGGGAAAATTTAGGTTTAATACAGCGTGCGCATCGATGTTATCGCCAATTTGCGACCCCTTCTGCACGAAAATAGCGGATTTTTTTTTACCCTTCTGCCCTCTACAAACTCGTGTTTGTTTTTTTTTTTTTTAAACGCATATTCAAATCACAATTCGACTAAATTTAAATGAGTGAAACTTGAATCTAAGATCTTTGGTTAAAAATAAAAAATCTACTATACCACAATTCTTATTTTTTTCTTTAAAAACTCGTGTTGTTTGCCTCTTTTAAAATTTTTTTTTTTTAAAATACAGACAAATTCATGTATTACACTTTTGTTTTTATGGTTGTTAGTTGTTACAGTAGTATACACTACTCTCTTTGTCTCATATTAATCGATCGTCTTATTGAAAATAGTTATTTTATATTAGTTGATCATCTTACTAAAAAAGTATTAATTAATTTTTTTCTATATTATCCTTGCAATTAATTATTTTTGAATTTGTTCACATTTGTTTGTATAATTGCCAAGAATTTTTTAAGCTTTGAATTATAAAATTATTATTTTTATTTATGATGATTTCTTAATATGTGTGTAAAAAGATAAGTGATCAACTGATATGGAATGGAGTATTATTTTAATGAATACAATATTTGAACAAATATTGAGGTTCTTAGAATTTATTTTGTGAGATTACATGTGATGTTGTGGTTGAAAATTAAACCTCCATTACATGCAAATAAACATTAATTATGGAAATTCAATCTGTATTAAAAAATTTAAGGCTGATAGTATATAGTTTAAAGGCGATTTAAACTCCAAATTTCAAACAAACAATAGCTAGATTAACTAAAACTAATTAATTAGTTGTCAATAGCCCAATATGCTTGAAGTTATTAGAGGCTTTTATTAGAACAATTTAGAAGTCAAAAGTCAAACTATGTGCACCAGGAAGAATAAAGTGAGGAAGTAATAATGTAATTTTATCTGTTTCAATTTGTTTAACTTTTTTTTAGTTCATTAAAAAAATAACTTTTAAATTTTAACATTTCACACATATTTAAGATTATAAAATTAAAAAATATTTTAATACATTTAAAAATCTTTTATTTTAAACTATAATAAAATTTAAAATTCTTTTTTACGTTCTTAAACTTTGCGATGCATCAAAATTCAAAACAGGTTATTCAATTTGAAATGCATCAAGTAATATACTTCTCAACATTCCAGAAGCAGTACAATTGGAAGCATCTTTTTTTATACTTTTAGTTTTATTTGCACAAAAATATTGACCGTGTGTTAAGATTTCGAAGTCATAGTCAGATTTTGTGCATAGAAGAATAAAATGAAGATTTTAATAATATATAGTAGTACTAATTTTATTTATTTTTTCAGAAACAACTCACATAAGTGATGATTAATTGACTAAGAGCCAACAATCACTCTATATTCATAATTAAAACAAATATCCCAAACATATATTGAAGGCTAAAATATGATGGTAATTGAAATGATCAAGAAAGGACACAAGGTTTATAATTTCGTTTTCGTTGAGTGCAAGGTTGTTCATCAGAAAATTAGGGAATCTAGTAACTAAGCATGTTTTTCGTGAACAAAACAGGATTGTCGAGGTATCGAGGATGATAGACAAAAAAGTTAAACGAGTAGGAAAGAGTAATTAAGTTGCGCGATATGTGAAACAAAAAATAAAAGAAAAATAATGTAAACGAGTAGGAAAGAGTACTTAAGTTGTGCGTTATGTGAAACAAAAAAAAAGTTAAACGAGTAGGAAAGAGTAATTAAGTTGCGCGATATGTGAAACAAAAAACAAAAGAAAAACACTGTTGAGAGTGGGATTTGATAAAAAATAAAAGAAAAACAATGTGAACGAGTAGGAAAGAGTAATTAAGTTGCGCGATATGTGAAACGAAAATAAAAGAAAATAATGTAAACGAGTAGGAAAGAGTACTTAAGTTGTGCGTTATGTGAAACAAAAAAAAAGTTAAACGAGTAGGAAAGAGTAATTAAGTTGTGCGATATGTGAAACAAAAAATAAAAGAAAAATACTGTTGAGACAGAGTAATTAAGTTGCGCGATATGTGAAACAAAAAACAAAAGAAAAACACTGTTGAGAGTGGGATTTGAACCCACGCCCTTTCGGACCAGAACCTTAATCTGGCGCCTTAGACCAACTCGGCCATCTCAACATATTATTAATATTTCCTCTTATAATATTAAACATAAACAACTACTTTAAATTTTTCTGCGTAGTAGAAAAACTAAATAAATTTCTTGTATATTTCATAAGTTACATAGATTATATAAGCGCATCTTTTCAAATAAGCAAATTTCTAAAAAATTTCATATCAAGCACACACTGAATTATTGAAAAAATAACGATGTTACTACATAATAACTAGCTAGTCATAATACGAATTTTAAGCTGAAAAAATCAATAATAACATAATATTCAGTATAACTTTATAAAATAAAGTCCGAAAGAATAGTATGCATACAACATTATTTCTATCTTGTGAAGATAAAAAGGTTACTTTAGAAAGACCTTAATAAGCGAAAAATTAAATTATACACTAAAAAACAATTTCAGCTTTTGAAAGAAGTTTGTATCTCATGCACTTCTCCTTTGATGAATTTAGACCCAAAAAAATCTTCTAAACCCCTTAGATATATGCTCAATTCTGGACAGAAAGTCGTCCATCATCTTACTACTTCTATCATCAAAGCATTTTATTGTTATATGTAGTCATCGCTGAAATAGGTTTTCACCCTATTGTACTTGACAGTCTCCTTAGGGAGAACAAGCATGAGACCTGCTGCATAAGGCTTGTGTGTATCCCGTCCCCTTCATCGGTTATTAATGTCCCGAGATCCGATACAACGAAATCTTTTCGCTCAACCTTTCTTTCACCTAAACAATTTCGTCACTCTGCTCGCCTACAAAAACATATTTTGTTCGCCTACAAAATCACCTTTTTAGTCAAGCGCACGAGAAGATCCTGTAGAAGTCCTCCATCCATATGTTACCGACCTGATCATCCTAAGATTAGAAAGAAGCTTGGAGTGACTACTAATTAATTACATTACCATTAGTTATTAAAAAAAATATATATATAAAAGACTATAGATTAATTAGCTTCATTTAACGATCATGTATTAGCAGTTTTAATTCATTCACCTGTCATGTATTAGGACTACTACTTTTTGTCTTTTATAGGAGTAATATTCTAAAATCTAATTATGAAAAATCAAATATGCAATGTATGTATTTGACAAGGTACATTTAATCTCTTTAATTTCCAAGCTATTTCTTATTTTAACACGTATATATATAAGTAGGAAAATCCTTTCATAATTCATAGCTCCACAACACATACATGTGACGTTCCTTATGGAGGGCAGGATGATGAGGACGAATCAAATAGGATTGATAGACTTCTGAAGATGAGATTTACATGATATTTTAGATAAATTTCACATTAAAATATTGGTATAAAAAAAGTGAAGAGTTTTATAAGACATAACTCAAGTTCACATGATACACACACTTTTAATCAGAATTTGATGTGACTGACATAAACCAAAGGACAATTTGATGTGGATTTAGAGGCTCAAAGTAGACAATATGTATCATGATCTTGAATCGTGTCAATACAATATAAATAACTACAATTCAAACTTCGTGATTAACACTTGACAATACGGTCTTTATAAATTGTTCTTGGTCCTGTTTCAGTTTTGACTTTTAACAAGTACTTTAAAAAAAAGGAGTTATTAATTTATTTGAAAGTGGATATTCTCAATAAATTCCAAACGTCATGGATTATTCAACGTTAAAATGGATTTTACCAAACTAATTAAGGTATCTTAGAAAAATATTTTATTCAACGAACAAATCTAATTATCTCGATTCACCAAACAAAACAAAACAAAACAAAAAGTAAAAGTAATCTTTATTCTATCTCAATTTATGTGACACATTTTTTTTAGTTCGTATAATAAAGAATGTAACCTTTTCATAATTGGAAATATTTAATTTTAATTTTTTCCTTTTATTCTTCATAAAATGTTTATAGTCATCTAAATTTTTAAAATTCTTTTTAAAAATAAATAAATTGTGACACGTTTTTTAGTTCGTATAAAAAAGAATGTAACCTTTTCATAATTGGAAATATTTTAATTTTAATTTTTCCTTTTATTCTTCATAAAATGTTTATAGTCATCTTAAATTTTTAAAATTCTTTTTAAAATAATAATTGTGACACGTTTTTTAGTTCGTATAAAAAAGAATGTAACCTTTTCATAATTGGAAATATTTAATTTTAATATTTTCCTTTTATTCCTAATAAAATGTTTATAGTCATACAAATTTCTAAAATTCTTTATTTTTCTTACATTTTGTGACACATTTTTTTAGTTTGTATAAAAGAGAATGTAACCTTTTCATAATCGGAATTATTTAATTTTAAAATTTTCATTTTATTCTTAATAAAATATTTATAGTTATACAATTTTTTTAATTTTTTTTTCTTAAATTATGTTTTAAGTTAGACAATATTATATAAATTAAAACGAAGCAAGTAATAATATAGAATTTTCAACCATTTGGCAGACTTCATTTATGACTGGTTGACTCCCTTTCTAGAATTAGCAAAAACGTAACCTTTTTTACTTTTCTTGCAGAAATGCATTTTCTTTTATCTAAAAGGTGAAACCATTATTTACAGATTTTTTTTAAAAATGGAAAAGAAAGCAAAATACTAATTTTCGTTCATGTGACTTTTGCCAAACTCTTTAATGCCATTCTCTCTAAATTATTGTTTGCTATATATTTATACATACTCCCTTCACCATTAATACTATATATTATGATTTTTCCCTTCAAATATTCACTTATTTCTTTCTCTCACTCAAGAAATTTAAAGAAGAAGATCAATCTCTATGAAGCCTATGATTAATTTATCTCTTATTTCATCTTTCATTATACTACTACTCATTTCCCAAACAATATCGGCTCGTCTTCCTCCTACAAATAATCGAGGTACGGACAACTTAATTCTATCGCTAAACAGTAAAAAAAATTCGTTAATTTTATTTAGTGATAAATTACTAAAAAAATGTTAATTACATGTTTTTGAGCGATAGATTAACAATGAATTTCGTTGCTAATTCATTTTCTTTCTATCTTTTGTTTTGTTTGTGTGTAGTCCATTTCTTGCTAATTCTATTTAGCGATGAATTACTAAAAATTGTTAATTACATGTTTTCGAGTGATAGATTAACAATGAATTTCGTTGCTAGTTCCTTTTCTCTCTATCTTTTTGTTTTGTTTGTGTATAGTCCCTTTATTTATTTTGTAACGCTTATAATTAAGGTCCAATTATGGATCGTCTAGAGATAAATTATCATTAATGATTAATATGCTTTTCATATAGATAACAACAAGATTGAAGTTAATGGGATTATTCATTCAATTCCCACACAAGAAGAAGACTTCACCAATGTAAGTTCTTTTTTCAACTTTGATTTTGCTTTAAATGATTTCGATGTGTGTGTGAATTAGAAGATTCAATTCCCATTAATTTTGTTGAAAGACATAATTAATTACATAAAAATATGTCATTTCTAAAGCTTAAGCCTTTTGTTTGACACTGTAGCAACGCAACATAACATGATATCAGAACAAACATATATTCTAAATTTGAATTCACTGTCAAAAATCAGGTTAACACGAGAGGCATGTTAAAAAGACATAATTAATAAATAGAAAGTAACTTTTACACCCTCCTCCTAAAATAATTGCCGCTTAAAAAATTCAAGACAATAATTAGTAATTATTTCCAACTATATCCTCATATTAATAAATTACTTCCTCTTATGTTCAATTCTAAAAAAGATCCAATAAATAGGGCCAGACATGTTATAGTAAATGATTACCTTGTATTTATTATTTTTCTACATGAACATGAAAAAAGCTAAAACGAAGACTTCTTTTGAATATGAGGGGATGTATGAGATGAGATAATCACGCAGTTCAAAAGATTTTAACTTTAATGAAACTTCTTCCTTTTCTTTTTTTTTAATATATTGTCTTTTATGGTTCTTGAACAGCTCATGGGGATGGAGGAATGTGAAGACAGAGATGAAGTTTGTTTAAATAGAAGGATGGTAGCTGAGGCTCACTTGGATTACATATATACTCAAAACAAACCTAAGCCCTAAAGGCTAAAGAGGGATTAATTATCTCTACATTAAACTACAAAGCTTATCTACATGTAGAAGAAGTTTAGATATGATATTTTATACCAACAAAAGCATTTTTAATTAATTTATCATAAGATGTAGCATTAGTCTATTAATAATGGAGTATATGTTTTATGAGCTATTAATGAGTAGTGGAAACTTTTAATTACTCTTTTATGCGTCTTCACAAGTATATGGTGATTTGAGATGTTTCACTTAGAGGCATATTTTTTTATGTTTGAACATCAATCTTAATAATAAGCGACCTCCACTCTTTTTTATCTAGAGTCATGTTCTCAATAATATGAAATTGTGCATTATGTTGTCTAATCACCTCTCTCAATACATTTTCGGCCTACCTCTACCCCTCTATCTATCCCTTACAATCAACCTCTCACACCTCCTCATTGGGGCGTCTATGCACCTCCTCTTCACATGTCCAAATCATTTCAGTCTCGCCACTTAAACCTTTAAGAAGTTATAAAATTGTACTATGGCTAGTGAGAAATAAATTCTCTAGGAACTAAAGTCATGCCCGAACATAACTTGAGAAATATCATAATACGAAAATATAAACTTACTTCCCGCAAGAAAAGGTTGTTTGTTTTGACATAAATTAAGACCAGCACAAAATAGGGACAAATGTGCTAATGACCGTTAAGAAGTCCTCTTTTCTAAATCTCTTAACATCTAATACTCGTTTTTCCAACTTTAACCAATTAGTTACGAATTGCAATATACAGCTTTTTATGGACAATAATTGATATTAAAGTTGGAAGCACGAGAATCAGATGTTAAGACAAGAGGACTTCTTAAGGGTCATTTGCACTTTTGTCCCCTTTTTTTTGGTTTCCCAGCCGGTGTTGGGTACCCACATTTCAGCCCGACTAAATCCGGATTCGCACCGGAAAATCCCACCTAGGTTTTTCATTTATGTCATAACAAACAACAGATAATATCAATAATCAATCAACTACAACTGAGTTGCAATTAACTGGAGTCGGCTATATGAATAATCATCTGTTTTGATTTTGCTCTATTCGGGTCCATAGTTATAGAACCAACAGCTTGAAACAGCATCAAGCAAGAACTTACAAGGAGAATGCATCGCAAGTTTAACTATGTTTTCATCTCACATCCATAATACACCATCTATAAAAAGGGATAATGGTACGAACACCGAAATAAAGAAAGGAATTCCAACTATTTTCCAGCCTCAAATCAGTAGCAAGATGTAATGCTTTACTTAAAACTTAAATCCATAGCTCATAGAGAAGGTGATGCAGTAGCTTGCTTAGGTCATAACTCTGATGTTGCAGTTCGAATGGAAATGCAGCTCGATGATATTGGTTCAATGGCAACAGTTGCTCAGCAGAGGCGAAGCTGTGATTTCAGCTTTATGGGTTTTGAGTTTTAGAACGACAACTTCAACTAGCACTTGGTTTCTAAATTTAATGTTGTACATATTTTATGAATTTTCTGAAACAAACATTGTTTGAGCAAAGGCTAATGGGTTCAGCCGAACCGCATATGAGCTTCTACCGCCGCCATGTTGCTCAGGACAATGTAAGATACAAAGGATTCAACCGAAATTGGATAACATGATGCCAAAAATGTAAGATTGTCATCACATTATAACTTAAAAGCAAAGCCTAGAAGAGGCTTAACAAGGAAGATGCACAAGCAGTACAAGTAAATTGTACTGAACCTATCCACCTTGAATTAACATACCCCTGTGCAATTCCTTTTAATCCATGAAATCAGAAAACCAGTCTTCCGACTCCTGCGAAATTGAAACAGTGGTATCAAATATAAGTCAAGTAATGACAACTAATCCAATCAAGCACGGAAGTAATCACAGCTCGCAGTAACTTGTGTAAAGAGAAAAAAAATACCAAAGAACAATATATCAACTATAATAAGCATAATAAAGCAAGTTGGCAATTCCTATGCATAATTAAAGGAATGATGGATCCCCAGAAATTCTCTGCATTAAGATTCCTCTTCTTTATGTCAGTCCACTAAGTTTCAGTTTTCAACTTAGGCCACATAAGTCATCTATTTAGGAGAACTCAACCGATATCTTAACCAATAAGCACCGAGAACTGAATGAGAAGATAAAAACAAAGACTTAAAGTAAGGGAGCTAACCATTTAAACCTCAATTCAAACACTTAGAGAATCATATTCAACTATAAGCAGAGTTAAAACCAGAATATCAACATCATCCATCAATACCCACATATATCCTCATAGAAATAGATATTACGTACATTTAACTGTACCTGATGCATGCTGACATGACAAATCTGTCTTTATTCAGTAGCATATAGTGAAATAACTCAACAAGCTTATTTATGACAAATACAAAGTACATCAAACACCAAAAAGTCACAAAAACACCAACATAAACTATATGACACCCTTTCACCGAGTTGATTCAACACAACAATTATCCCCATTTTGTTTATACATAGTTCAATCAAGCACAAAAATGTTATACTTAATATAGTTAATACAACACAAACTAAATCAGGCCGGTAACTTGGAATTGAATCTACATAACCATTCTCATTTATTTTATAGATCAGACATGTCAAAGGAAAAACTTACGGATACAGTTGACGTACCTGTTTTATATCATCCTTAAGCATCCAATTTTGAGAATCTTCTGATGTACAGTTCTTGTGGACTATAGGATTCTGAATACCGCTTTCGTTCAATGAATCATCCATGTAAACAGCTCCTTTGAACATCCACTTGTCACTCTTTTCGTCATAAAAATCTTCAAAAACCTGACCACACAAGACACATACACACTGACTTTCATCAGCAGGAACCATAACCTCAGTGCATTCTGATAGTTTGCTAGAACCTCCAGTTGGTACTGCCAATATACCACAGTGTGGGACGCTACCGGTTCCAGCAAACCATTCCCCAGAATTTAAATACCACCTCCTTTCACTATGCAACCGTTTCCCATCTGGATTCCTTAATGCGTGCCATTCCAAGTGTCTATCAAGTTGCACTCGGAGCTTAAGTCGAAGACCACATATGCCACATTGATGTGGAACGTCATCAAGAAGTTCACTGATGACACCAGGATTGGACTCCCGAATTACACCTGGTTTAAATGCATCTTCTCTCTCTTCTTTGTTGGACTGAGGTAATGCATCAGGGATTTTAGCAGCAGGTTTAGAGAGAGACAGCTCATCCTTTTGAGACGAGCAAGTGGATGAGGAAATTGGAGCAGATACACCAGGAGTTGAACTGATGCTTGCAGGAGGACACTGGAACCGAGTTTGTGGAGGTGTCGGTGGAGGAGTTGAAGTTGGAGACTCCTCCTTTGACGCAGATATCAATCCCTTTGCCATCAATGAATTCAAAAGTTTTGCAACAGGATTAGAAGCAGCATTTACCACATTTGGAGCCTGCAATGATTCACTACCTACCGGAGTTGGAGCAGGGTCAGGTGGCAGTCGTGGTCGTTCTCCATTTCTCTGGGAATAACTTGGGGCATTTGAAACATTTCTGTCCGATTGTACGCTCACAACAGAATGTGGAGCCTTTGGTCCAGATGACAAAAGTTGGATAGGAGGACCACTTGGTATAGGAGGCTGTGCACCGGCTTGGGATGACAGAGGCCCCTTATCACGAGAATTCAGTGGTGTGCCAACACTAGAGCTACTATTAAGTACTCCACTCTTCATAACAGCAGCCAACAGACTACTCATACTCGTTTGACCTGAGGATTCAGAGCCTTGAAGAATGGAAGGCACAGTGCCAGAATGATCAGCAAAACCAGAAAGCTGAGTGACTATTGACTTTTGGCTGGGAATGGAAAATTCAGATTCAGGACTTTCTTGTTGGATTTTTTCAGGAAAAGAGACATGATGTTCTTCTTGAAAAGATGACATCATGGAAGATGGATTATATATTGGAGTCTGTGATATCTGTGAACTAACCAAATGAGCACTCTGAGATGTCATTGGCAGAGAGTCCTGGGGGACTTGCTTACGGGGATCTAAATTTGACCTCCTTGAAAATTGAGACATTCTTGGGTCTGCATGAGATTCAGTCTGTGTATGATAATCTCTAGTGAGACTGTTAACTACTTGACTAAAATTGCCGGTCGAGATTGATGGAGACGGAGGAAGCTGACGCATCGCTGACTCTAAAGATGGAGGGGCAGCTCCTTGAGTTTCTCGTGGTTGCATTATGGTTCCCCTGGATCCATTTGCAGTCTTTGCTATCCCATAACTTGGTGTCCCCACATGACTTGAATCTTTCTGTGACTGGAAAGATTTCCCAACTATGGAGTTTGTAGCTGTTGGCAACCCACTGAAAGAGGTTAGATGACCTCTTGGATGATCTGGAGTACTTTGAACAGAAGCCAAATGCCTAGCTTCATCTGACCACATCGATGATATTTGATTCTCGGAAGATGCTTGGCCATTGTCTTCTCTGGAAAGAGAGTCAGCCGAGGCTTCACTTTCAGCCTTTAACCCAAACATGTTTTGGGGTCTCGGATGTTGATTATCTAAGCCCTGCACATTCATGCAAATAACAAGATGAAGCATGAGGTTCTCTATTCATATTGCAGAAACACCAGACTAAACAACCAAAGAACAAGACAAGAAACCATGGAGGAGGTTCATATAAAAAGTCAGACAAAACATCCAATTGCAAATGAATTAAAACCTCTCCACAATCAAATTAAAGCATGATTATATCATTATAACAAAGGTAGCTAATTTTTATTCTGGGGAACTACATAAGTATCCATCCTCAGTTCACCCTAGGTGAGAAGAAAGCTGATATATATCATATAATAAGAAGATTGGTAGGGTAGAGAGGTATACAATAGGTGCTTTGAGATCTCAATAGAGAGAGAGAGGGATGGAGGGAGTGAGAAAGAGAGAGAGGCCAACAAGGATCAGAAAGATGGGGATGGAAGCTCCTTTTCATGTTTGACAACTAGTAGTCTTACTCAAAACTGAAGTTAGTTTTTTGAGAATGAGAAGTAGTTGGCTGGTATAATCACTATAATGTGAAAATTATATTAAGTGAACATTTTGAATTGGACGTAAAAACCACACTAGCAGGTTAGATATTGCTGAAAATATTTATAGATATAATCAGCAATATTTTCAATTTAGAAGGGATACT